CCAAGTTGCCCAGGTGGGTCTCGAACCCGTGGGCTCAGGCAATCCACTCACCTCACCCTCCCAAAGTGCAGGATTACAGGCTGAGCCACCGAGCCCGGCTGAAGATAGATTTTAAAGAATCCTTTAGAGAGCATTGCTTTTCAAACTTGAACATGCAAGCAAGTCTACTGGGGATCTTGCTAAAACGCAAGGTCAGTAAATCTGAGATCCTGCATCTCTGACACACCTCTAAAGCAGTGCAGATGCTATTGGCCCATGGATCACACCCTGAGCAACAAGTCTTGAGATTTCAGCTCTCTGAATACATCTGGTGTGTCTAAACTACTGACTTCCTAGGTTTATGGGTAGGAGGGAATTAGAAACCATTAAAACACATTTAAAGTTCAAAGGTTAAAAACTACCCACTATCATTTGAGAAAGGATTTAAAACTAGAAAGGATAAAAAAGTTCAAATGTAATGAAAAACAGATTCCTAGAAATTCCACAAAAGACAACTTAATAAAAGTATACATAGGCCGGGAGTAGTAGCTCAAGCCTGTAATCCCAGCACTTTGGGAGGCTGAGGTGAGAGGACTGCCTAAGCTCACAGGTTTGAGACCAGCCTGGGCAATATGGTAAGAGCCCATCCCTACAATAAATCAAAAAATTAGCTGGGCGTGGTAGTGTGTGCTTTGGAAGTGCGTTCTAGCTACTTGGAAGGTTGAGGCGGAAGAATCATGTGAGCCCAGCAGGTCAACGCTGGGATGGCAGTGAACATGCCACTGCACTCCAGCCCGGGTGATGAGGTGAGACTATGACTCAAAAAAAAAAAGGTACATATTCATTTACTGACTAAAGCAAAGGAAAATTATTTTGAAGTTGTGTCAAAATAGAATTTATACTTGACTGAAAAATTTGAGTTTTCTATTTTCTAGGGCAGTACTTAAAAAAAAAAAAGCTTGACTGATGTAAAGAAGTACTAAAATAATGAAAAGAAAATCACAGGTTCAAATTCTGACTCAATTTCTTTCTTTTTTTTTTGAGTTGGACTCTCACTCTGTTGCCCAGACTGGAGTGCGGTGGCAGACTCCCAGCTACCGCAGCCTCGACCTGCTGGGCTCCGGTGATCCTTCTGCCTCAGCCTTCCAAGTAGCTGGAACTATAGGTGTGTGCTACCACGCCCAGCTAATTTTTTTGATTTAAGGTAGAGATGAGGTCTCGCCAAGCTGCCCAGGCAGGTCTCGAACCCGTGGCAATTCACTCACCTCGGCCTCCCAAAGTGCGGGCTTACAGGCTGAGCCACCAAGCCCGGCTCCGACTCAATTTCTAAGAATTAGGAAATTAGGTCTAATTGGATTGGCAGTTCTTGGTAGTTCCAAGAAGTCACCCTGTTTTCCATATCAAATCCCAGTGTAAAGGATTCCAGTAAGTTCTGAAATCAGCTAGATACAGTGATGTGGCTGTGGCTGTAATCCTAGTTACTTGGGAGGCTGAGATGGGAGGATTGCTTGAGGCCAGGAATTGAAGACTGTAGTGCTTTATGATTGTGTCTATGAATAGCCAATGTACTCTAATCTGGGCAGCATAGAGAGACCCCATCTCTAATAAAACAAAATAAGACAAAAATTCTGAAATCAACCTAAAAGTTTAGGTCTTCTCTTAGATGGAATGGGGGTGGGGAAGAAGTAGAGAGGGAAAAGGGAAGAGTGTTGACAAAATTTCTATGCCATCACTACTCCCCTAGATTTTGACTCAACCCACGTCCCAAGAATTCTAAAGACTCCAGACTTCTGGGACTGCCTGGGCTGAATAATATCAACAGGCCTGTTGAACAGCATCAGTTTTGTTCTAGGCCTTTATCCAATGATCTTTAGATAAACTCTTTAAGATCTAAAAAGACATAATAAGTAATTCATATTATCATCAAACTAAATACTTACAGATTCTTCTTGAACATCAAGTCCAAGTGTTTCAGCAACAACTGCAGCTAAATTAAAAGATGACCTATCAGTAGGATAACTGCTTGTCCCATGTGCTTCTAAGTGAGGAAAAAAAAGACCAATTATACAACTGTAGAAACTACATGTATAAAAATTACCAAAAAAGGAAGGAAAAGGCTTACAGAACCACTTTACAAGATGGCAAGGGATACATTTTAAACCACTGTGTCAAAAGTCCTAAATATCTACTAATAATGGCAATAAATTGCAGGTAGTTACTGTTCACATTTACTAAACTTTTCCAGATAAGTTTTCTATTTTTTCTAAATAAGTTGAATGCAATAGATTATTATTCTCATTGCTAGTGGAAAAAAAATAGACTCATTGTGACCTAAGATACAATATGAGTATCATACCATATTTATGGTATAATTCATAAAAATGTACTTTGTGGGAAGAGATTTTTTAGCACTGCATGTTTTTCATTGCCTATGTTCAAGTATTTTATAAAGTTTTGTGCATACAGGATTTCAATAACTCAAGTATTCACAGTACACTTACTGTGTGCCAGGCACTGTACTAAGCCTTAGATGAAAAGAAAAAGTTCTTGTCCTGAAGGAGCTTATGGGCTACAGTTGAAAGGTAAAAAGAGAATTGCAACAGAATGTGATAAGCATTGTAACAAGGTACATCCAGGGGTGATTCAAACACAGAGGAAGGACTTGATTTGGGAAATCAAGGAAAGTAACACAAAGTGATGCCTAAAATCTTTGATTAAAAGAACAATGTAGCTGGTTAACTGGGTTGGGGAAAGAAAGTAGGATTTTTAGGAACCTTTAGGCTCTAGGTAAGTGAAACCAACTTGCTTGTTTAGGAAACTATTTGGTTCATTTGTGAGAAATCAAGTTTCAGAAGATGTAAATAGTAGGAAATCAGCCGTTAGGTCAGTTACGTGTCAGATTATGTTAAGAAGACAAAGAAGGACATCCAAGAGTTTTTAAATAAAGGATAGATATAATATTTAAGTTAAAAGGTATTTCTGGCTGTGACCAGCCTGTAGGACAAGAAGCAGTCACTAATAGGCAAGACTAGTCAGATTATTAAAACAGTCTTGATGAGAGACACTGATGACCTCAACAAGTACAATGGGGGTGCAGAATATGTAAGACAAGTATGTAGAAGGAGGTGGAATCAACAGGACTGAGTGGCTGTTTAGAGATACAAGGCGAGGAAGTAGGAGTCTGGCATGACTCACAGTTTTTTAAATTTAGGTGACTCAGAGGTATGGACAGCATTATTTACTGGGATTATAAATACAAGGATGCAGAGTAGGTCTGATAGGAGTCAATTTTGGTTGAAGGGTATCGACGTAGAGATGTTCAACAGCAGGCAGATACATAGGCTTGAAATCCAGGGAAAAGTCTTGGACAGAGATATAGATTTGGGATTTATTAAGCCTATGGGTCATAGCAGAAGACTAACCCCGGGTGACATTTCTCCAGAAAGAAAAAGCGAGATAAGAATAGGCCCAGGACAATACACACAGGGGAAGAACAACACGGATGCCTTTGCTGGAAGCAGTTTCTAGTGTGAGTAAGACCATATTAATGTGGTCTTTTCCTCTCCCCACTCCCTTGTCCCTTTCTTTCTTTCTCCCTTCTCTGCCCCTTTTCTTTCTCTCTTAGAAGAGAGTGGGGAAGTGAAATCCATACTATGGAGGGCTGAAGTGAATGGGAATTAAAAAATTCTAAGTACAGACTTCATTTTTTCAACTTTGAAGAAGAGCTGTAGCCAAAGGTGGAGACAACTAAAAGGGAAGTTGTTTTTTAAAAAAGAAGTTAACACACATATCCATCTATACAGAAAAGGAAAAGTTATCAGAGAAGCTGGAGATGCTACATGGGAAAAGAAAACAATTGATGGTACAGTATAGTCTGGGCAGCAGCAGAAGACAACTGGTTCCAGACTGCTGAGAAACAAGGATCTTCCAGTTAGTGTTATACCCCCAGCATCCTCTGCTAGACACACAGTCTATCTGTAAACACACACACACACACACACACACACACACACACACACACACACACACACACACACAATGACCAGGTAAAAGGCGATCACTAGTAATTCTGAGGAAAGAGGTAACAATTGCTTGGTCCTTGAAAAGGTGGAGATGGGATCCAGAGTCTAGTAGGAAGGGTTGGCCAGGGTTAGTTACTTATCGCCTGATCATTCTGCCAGCATAAATACATGCTGACCATGCTATAATATCCCATTCTGAGAAACTTCCTCAACTCATGTTCCTCTCCAGCCACTGCCCTGTTCTCTCCCTTTTATTGTAAAAGGCCTTGGAAGACTTATGTTTTATTGTCTTCATTTCCACTGTCTTTGCCCCTAGTATCCCTTGAACATGATAAGTCTCAAGTGATCACATTACACCTTGACAGGTTTTATCACATTACTAGTTTAACACCCAATTATCTTCATGCAACCACATCCAATGGTCACGTCTAAGAAGTCCTCATCTTACTTGACCTGTTAGCACTGTTGAACACGGCGGACCGTTCCTTCCACCTGTCTCCACTTGGCTGAAAAAGATCTCATTTTAGTCCTCCTATCTCAATGGCAGCTCCTTCTCTGCTATTTCGTTGGCTCCTACTCATTTTTACAATTTCTAAATCACAATGTCAACAGCTACGATATTGCCTCCAAGGGGGGGTGATAAAGGTTCTTGGGAGGCAAAAAAATTTATTCTATATACTATGTGTGTATGCGCAGAAATACATGCATACACACATAGTATATAAGCAGATATACAAAATATTTACGGTATTAAAATTTCATGGGGGCAGTGGTTATGGAAAAAAATGTCTAAAAAGTTGGGGATGGGGGGTTGATTAAAAAAATAAGAGAGCTGAGAATCACAGTTTCACATAATGGAGTTCCTCAAGGCTCAGTTCTGAACTTCTTCCCTTCCCCATCTGTATTCACAAGCTTGACCATCACATCCCGGCTTAGGGTTTTGATGCCACCTATAGGCCGACGACTTCCATATGTATCTGCATGCTAAATTGCTCCTAAACTCTAACTCATATGTACCCACCTATCCAAAATCTCTACCTGAATGTCTCTTCTGCATTTCAAATAAAATATTCTCAAACCAAACTTCTGATTTCCAGCCTCCCATCCCCCCAACCAACATCACAGTTTCCAGTTTCTCCCACATCAGTAAATGGCAACTCAATTCTTCCTGTCGCCCAAACCAATCCCTCTTCACTCACTCTGCTCTAGGCAGACACACAGGTTTCCTGAATGCTCTTCAAACAAATCAAATGGCAGCTTCACCTCAAGGCCTTTGTACTTGCTGATTTCTCTGCCTGGGATGCCCTTCTCCCAGACATCCACATGACTCACTAGCTTCCCTCAGTCCCTGCTTATGTGTCACTGTACGAGGGAGGCTTCCTAACACACCTTCTCACTCGGCTTCACTTTCTGCATAACACTCGCTTCTCTCTGACATAAATGTGCTTATTTTCTTTCTCCCCTAACTAGATTTTAAGCTCCAAGGGCTTTGTTTTGTTCAGTGCCTGGTATACAATACACACTTAAATACTTGTTCAATAAGTAAATCACAATAAAGCCTTCTTTACTTAAAATTATTAGCAACTATATTAATATGGACAGGGTTACTTTCCAATATGAAAAGGACTATTAAACTAGTAATATAAACAAAATTATATTAAAACTATCTTTTAAATATTGTCTAATTCAGACTGTAGCACTCTTGCCCACCAATAAACACAGATTTTAAACCTGTAGCATAATCTCAGTCTCTTGCTTACTAGCCACTGGAGATTGACTTTGATCACAAGTGTCAGCTACCAGAATTTCCTTTTCATTAGGATTATATTGTAGATGAGCTGAAGCCTTGGAAACTTTTCTCAATTCTAAGGAAAAAAAAGAAGAGATAGTGCATAATAAACAATGAAAAAAATATTGTCAACATTTTAATATTTTATTTTATTATATGCTACCTATTTTAAAATACATTACAAGTACTATTTTCACATTCTAAAAAGTAAGTTCCTTGAGTTTCAGTAGAAACAAAGCTATAAGTCAGGAACACAGGGAGTGCAAGGACTAGAACACACACACTTCTGACCTAAGTCGACCCGAGTAGTAACATTTTAATGTTACTTTTCCTTGTGTATCTGTTTCAAATCTGTTACAAATGTATAATATATCTCTACAATCTTTGTTTTAGAGCTTTTATTTTCAAGAAGAAAACCCTGTTTCTGAAGCATGCTTTATCAGAAATCATTTTACTACTTAAGAATTTAATTCAAAGAAAACAAAAAGAACTAAGGAAAAGGAAATAGAGCTTCATTACGTATAACTTTAAAATAATATTAAGAAGCACTATAAGTTTTAAGATAAACAAGCAAAGGTAGTTAGAAAGAGAACAAGACTAGTCATTAAAGTATTTAAAATTTATTTTTAAATAAGTTGCATGGCTTAGTTATCTTACATCTTAAAACCAAAGCTTCACATTCCAAGTAAAAAGTAATCAGAACAAAACTAAAACAAGTGATTTAAGTTTCTAATTCATAGTTGTATGCTGCTCTCATACAAAGAAGAGATAAACCAGAAGCATTTATGCTGGTTACACCACAAGAAGACTTTCCTAATACAGAAAAGTGCTCTGATTTGTTTTATGGATATTCTTACACATGGATTTAGGCATAATCTAAATTATGCAGATAATTATCTGTAATGATTCCCATCTTGTCTGACAGCAGACTAAAAGGTCAATGAATATTCATTCTAAATCTGTGCTTACATTTTTTTTTTTTTGAGTTGGAGTCTCACTCTGTCACCCAGACTGGAGTGCAGTGGCTGCTCCCGGTCACCGCAGCCTCGACCTGCTGGGCTCCGGCGATCCTTCCGCCTCAGCCTTCTGAGTAGCTGGAATTACAGGCGCCCGCTACCACGCCTGGCTAATTTTTTTTTTGATTTTATTGTAGAGATGAGGTCGCGCCTGCCCAGGCGGGTCTCGAACCTGCGGGCTCAGACAATCCACTCACCTCAGCCTCCCAAAGGTGCGGGATTACAGGCTGAGCCACCGAGCCCAGCTTGTGCTCTTACATTTTAATTTAGCTCCTAATTATGTGTAGGATTTTTAACAGTTCTTTTGTTTTCCACTAGATGGTGATGCAAACTCATATAAAATGGGACAATAACTGCCAGTGTTCCAGTATCAAAGAATAAGATCTTTTTCGTTTAGAAGCATAACTACTGTCAACCATTAATTTGCCTTGTATAAATATCACTAGAACTATGTATACCTCCTCCTCCCAATGCTTTCCTTGTTGCAAATAGTTTAGGTAAAAACCAAAGCCTTAGACTCCAACTCAAAAAAAAAACAAAAAAAAAAATCAAAGCCTTTATCATTTGCTTTAGATTAGTATTAAAAGGAATAATCATTGTATCATGTCACATGATAAATTTCAGGACTATAGGAAGAGATAGTGCCAAAGCATTTAGCAGAAATGTAAACTGGGCTGGAATGAGAAAGCATGCCACTGATAACCCACAAAGGAGACACTGTAAAGTCATTTCTTGACTACCACCAACTCCTATAAATTATAACAAATAAAAATAGCCAGTTAAAGAAAGTGCCAATGGTGAGAGTAGCTGTGGGAAAGCCCTGGAAAGCACAAAAGTTTAGAGCCAGGAATTAGATTTGAATTTCAACTCATCTATCTACTTATGTAACCTTTTAAAATATATCTTTCCTCATCTATAAAACAAAAGAGCTAAGAGCTACTTCACAAGCCTGTAATGAGAATTAAAATACAGCAATAATGTTATGCAAATCACTCCGCATAATACCTGGCACGCAGGAGGTGGAAATTAATGTTAAGTTCCTTTCCTCCTTCTTTCTATCCTACTCAGACATATACACATAATATTTTCAAAATAAAAAGAAAAAAACCCACTTACTATATTTGTACAATGTAGAGTGTTTACATAGTCATATGAGCAATGCATCTATACATAACACAGGTGGAAAATGCCTTTCAGTCACTTTACTAATGGAAGTTACACTCACAGTTGTACTATGTGTTATCTGAACAACCATTTTCTTTTTCCAATAGATTGAATAACATAAAAATTAATAGATGAATGCTGTTTTACAAAACCAGATAACTACAACTCCAGCTCTTACCATTTGCACACACAAAGTGCTCCAATTTACTATGTGTTTGTTCTACGTATCGGACATGGAGGTTTTCCTTTCTTCGTAGACGGTTCACGCCGGAAAACGAGAAGGTTGTTATTGGTGAATCTGGAATAATATCTTCCTCACATTCAAGCTCAGCTGCCTGATGCTGTTGGTCATTCCTAGAGAAAAATGACAATTGAAAGAAAATTAAGTCAACAAATATTTATGAAGATATCTACCACATGATCTGGAGCTACAGCAGAATGTTAGTATGAAGCTGTGAGATACAGTCCTGGCATCTAATGTTCCAAATGTAAGGATGAAAGAAATGCATGAATGGTGGTAGCACCAAGTGGGGAATATTGTGAAACATGAAGAAGAGTGCAGTTGGTGGCACTTAAGGTGAAATTTTAAGTTTTTCAAATGGCAGAGGAGACCACAGAAGATCCACCCAGTTTGAGTAGGTACATGTTGCTGTGCCCTTATGTTGGAGAGGGACAAGCTAGAATTACGAGTAAGAGCCTTGAGTAAGTATACACATGATTCAGGAATCAAGAGGAAAGAATTAAGGTTTTAGAGCACAGATATAATGTGACAATCTAACAGCATTGTGTAAGACTGACTGGGACAGAAAGAAAGGAAGTAAGGAAGTCAATTATACAGTGGCTATGTAAGAGCCCAGCAAGAGCTTCTGTGATTTGAATTAGAATACTGTAAGTACATATGGAAAGGAAAGGACCAATGTGAAACAATGCGGTAGCAGAATCAGCATAACTTGGCAGTGACAAATGTAAGATGATAATACCAACACTGATAACTACCAACATCTGTTGTTTTTGTTCACACTGCCAGGTACTATTTAAAGTGCTACATGTATCAATGTAATTATCAGAACTCTGTGAGGCATTATTACTTTCATTTTACAAACAAAGAGATGAAGATAGAGAAGTTAAGCTACTTACTAAAGTAGTAACAGAGTCAAGATTTAAATTTCAGCAGTAAGTCTGTAACCCTTATCACTAACCAAGTGTGTCAGACTTAGTCTACAGGTAGGCTTCAAACTTTCAGTTTCTATCGCTGCTTCTACCCAGGCCCCCCTATACTCTGCTCCCGACAGCAGTCACAGTGGTTCTGTTAAGACATAAGTCATATCAATTGAACCTGATTAAAACCCTGCCACATCTGCCCATTTCACTGACAACACAAGCCAAAGTCTTTTGAATGAGCCACAGAGATCCTGCACGACCTGATAGCCCCTCGCCCCATCACCGCTCTGACTTCTTCCTGCTATTTTCGGCTCCAGCCACTCTTCTCCTTGAGGTTCCTCACTCACCAGACACATCCCTACCTTAGGCTCCTTGCTCTAGCTGTTCCATCTGCCTGGAATGATCATTCTCAGATACAACAAGGCTAATTACCTTGTCTTCTTCAAGTCTTTGGCTGGAATTTCACTGTTCAAAATCTCAACCCCTCTCCCATTCCCACACATTTTACTGTTAACTTTATCCACAGCATTTACTGTTTTCTCACATAGTATGTGATTTATTAATTATGTTTATTGCTTACCTATTAAAATGTAAAATCTCTAAGAGGGCAGGATCTTTGGTTTACTGATGAATCACAAGTGCCTACAATCATAGACACATAGGAGGTACTGCACAAATATTTGTTGAGTGAATATAAGGCATTCCCAGACTCTGCTAAAGGAATAAATTTGTACGGATCTAGGCATATGTTCTCGCCCAACTCAATTCAGGACCAATGGGACCTAAGACTGACTGGGTTTGAATTGAATTGTGGTTACTGAGTAAGATAAATTTAATTGACTTTCCCATGTCAAACATTACTGACCTTATTTGCCAACCAATACTTACCAGTCTGTCAGGCACTTAGGCTTTACATGACCAAACCAGTCTGTCAATATTCCTATCAATTAGGAATACTATTTCCAAACAAAATGTTATACAAGGAGAATTTTATAAGCTATAGTCAACAAGTTTTTTAAAAAAACATTAATTAAAAGATTAATTGTAGGGCTCGGTGGCTCAGTCAGTAATCCTGCGCTTTGGGAGGCTGAGGTGAGTGGATTGCCTGAGCGTGCGGGTTTGAGACCTGCCTGGGCAACTTGGCAAGACCTCATCTCTACAATAAATAAAAAATTAGCCGGGCATGGTAGCATGCGCCTGTAGTTCCAGTTACTTGGAAGGCTGAGGCGGAAGGATCACTGGAGCCCAGCAGGTTGAGGCTGTGGTGGCCAGGAGCAGCCACTGCACTCCAGTCTGGGCGACTGAGTGAGAGACTCCAACTCAAAAAAAAAAAAAAAAAAAAAAGGATTAATTTTTTTCCTAACAAAGATTTACACTTTAATTCCTGGAAAATATCACTATTACTTGTGGGCTTTAATCCCCTATTTTATACTAAGAAATAATCTTTAGAGCTAATAGCTAACTGACAAATAAATAACTGTATATATTTATGGAGAGCAACAAGATGCTTTGATATATGTTTATATTGTAGAATGATTAAATAAGTTAATTAACATATTTATCATTTCACATACTTTTGAGGTAAAAACACCGAAAATTTACTCTTAGCAATTTTGAAATTTACAACGATTATTTATTACAATAACCATTCCATGCAACAGACCTAATATCTAATTTTTAATCTCTTCCTGTAATTCTACTCTTACACTGAAAAAACAGAGTAGGTTAAAGTCATATGAGAAAGCCCTATAAATTAGTGGAGTGTGAAATCTACCTAACCTAACTTTAACTAATCACGTCACAGCCTGCTTGCCTATTAGTCATTAAAATTCAATCTGTAAACTGTGTCAAAGAAAATAAAAATTCAATCTGAAACATGAATGAATCGAAAGAAGAAACTGACTTCCTGGAAGAGTCAGTGTAGAAGTAGCTAGAATCACAAAAGGAAAAAAACAAACCAACTAAACTAGCTCTAATTAGAGGTACCAGACTAAGTAAGTGCTGGCTCTGTCTTCCTTTGTTATATTGAAAAAGGAAAAACAAACAAACAAACAAAAAACAACTTGCATGTGTTAACCCAGTTTATTCCTTAAAACATTAGGTCTCACTGCTTTTCTGAAAAAAGCCAAGTGTCCAAGCCAACGCTTTTGGTTACACTGACCATGCACACTGGCTCTCCTCCTTTCACTTTTCTTTCTGGTGTCCTGAGCTGTTTGGTTTATGCGCCCCACCCTCTAAATTCCTGTCAAAACTGTTTTAGTTTTTTCTTCCCCCTAAAGACTTATAAGGATTCAGTTTCCCTTCACAAGGAAAACTAATATTCAGCCTTTCTCCTTCTCTACTCGGAAAATCTTATATTTCCAGTTAATTGAAACTTAATGAAGCAATGTTCCAAACATCAAGTTCATCTAACTATTCTAATTTTCAAAAAAGGGAAGCAGAGGATTCCCTAAAGTACAAACTAGTGAGTCTGTAAAGTTTATTATATGAGTAATTCAAATGAGACTAATTTTAACAAGAGGGGTTACTCGATCAGCTGTTCTGAGGAATGCTTTATGGTGTGTATCAGGCCCTCAGAGAGACATCTGACAATGATTCTCTTGATATCCTCTTGTAATCAAAAAGGAAGAAATACAACCTTGTAATAAATAATAGGACAGACTTCCAACAAACACATATTATCATTAAGGAAGGAAATCTGTAGTGGTATGTTTTAGGGCTCCATGCTCAGGCAGGTCTTATTCAACATTTTTAAATGATTTGGATGCAAAGCACTGGTGGGATATTCATCAAATCTGTGTACAATGCAAAGCTGAGATTAAAAGCTAACCTCGACTGGGTGGAGTGGCGCATGCCATAATCCCAACACTTTGGGAGGCCAAGGAGGGAGAACTGCTTGAGCCCAGGAATTCCAGGTGAACCCAGGCAACACAGCAATACTGCTACAAAAAATTTAAAAAATTAGCTAGGCATGGTAGCACATGACTGTTGTCCCAGCTACTTGGGAGGCTGAGGCCGAAGGATCACCTGAGCCCAGGAGGCCGAGGCTGTGGTGAGCTATGATCCTGTCACTGTACTCTAGCCTGGGCATAGAGAGCAAGACCCTGACTCAAAACCCCAAAAATAAAAACAAAAACAAAAATGAACAAAAAACTGAACCTAATACATAATAAACAGCAGGGTAAAAAATTGGCACATGAAATACCCCCCCCAACCCTGAGGTTAGAATAATAGGCCAAATCTAATGAAACACAACAGGGAGAAATGCCAGGCATAAGCCTTACTGAACTGAGTCGGGAGGAAGAATCAGGACTCTGCCACCTACAGAATGACACCAGGTAGGCAACCTTATGAGGCTGCTTTTGCATAAAACTATAGAGAGGTTATACAGACTCTGAAATGAGGAAGACCTGGTTTCATACTCTGGGTCTGACAATTATTGGTCACACTGAGTAAATTATTTAACCTCTCTGTACCTCAGTTTCCTCATCTATAAAATGGGCAAGGTACTATACTTTCCTATTTCCTTTTTGTAGGAAAGTTGTGAAAAGGAAAAAAAATAAATGCAAAGATGCAATATAGTGTCCTCCCAAAATGAGTAGGTATGGCCATGTATTACCTAATGACAGAAAGAGATTCTGAGAAAGGTGCCGTTAGGCAATTTTGTTGTTATGTAAACATAACAGAGTAAGTATACTTACTTACTTGTGGTCTATTATATACCTAGCTTAAAAAAAAAAAAAATTAGTCAGGTGGGGTGGTATGCACCTACAGTCCCAGATACTGGGGAGGCTGAAGTGGATTACGCTATTGTACTCTCGTGTGGGTGACACACATATTTTAACTTTATAAAAGCAAATTTTTATTGAATAATTGCAGTGTCAATAACTCAGTAACATCAAAACTAGCTCAGGAGAGTCAGAATTACTGCATTTAACAAGCAGAAGTATAAGTCAAATAATACTTTTTCTACAGTGCAAGGGAATTTCTGATACTAATAGCATAATGTGACAGTGGTTTAGGTAGTCAGAAGAAACTAGATTAGACAGGCTCGGTGGCTCAGCCTGCAATCCCGCACTTTGGGAGACTGAGGTGAGTGGATTGCCTGAGCCCGCGGGTTCGAGACCCACCTGGGCAACTTGGCGAGACCTCATCTCTGCAATAAATAAAAAAATTAGCTAAGTGTGGTAGCACGCGCCTGTAGTTCTAGCTACTTGGAAGGCTGAGGCGGAAGGATGGCTGGAGCCCAGCGGGTCAAGGCTGCGGTGGCCGGGAGCATGCTACTGCACTCCAGTCCGGGTGACAGAGTGAGACTCCAACTCAAACAACAAAAAAAAGAAAGGTAATACAGAGCACATAGAGGTAATTATATAACACCTCCAGTAGAAATCTGAGGCATCATCCCATAATCGAACATATTTGAACATCGAAACACATGAATACTTACATGAAGTGGGATAAATAAATACTACAGATGGCATTCTGGAACTGTAGAGGGGTTGTGAATAGTATTTCAAAAATAACCTTCTGAGTTTTGGAATTATTTAGAAAAGATTATCCGAGTCCTAGTCTCTCTTCATTATTGAACATTACTAAAATTAGAAAGTGTTGATATTTTCATATAAATGTTTTATTGCCATCATCTGACTCCATATCTTCCTTTCCCCATCTGCTGGATCCCTCCTCAAAACTCCCTTTGCCTATTAGTATTCAGCAGACCAATCACATGGAAGAATACTGAGATTCTACTGAACATCCATTATCCTAAGAGTATCCTGGTAAGAATATAAATTCCACCTGTGAGATGTGTTTATACATAGACAATAACTATTCTAAGACAAAATAGTATGTTAAATCTACAGCCAGTCTCGTGCCTCAGCCTGTAATCCCACGCTTTGGGAGGCTGAGGTGAGTGGATTGCCTGAGCCCGCGGGTTCGAGGCCCGCCTAAGCAAGTTGGTGAGACCTCATCTCTACAATAAAAATTAAAAAAAAAAATTAGCCAGGCATGGTAGCACGCGCCTGTAGTTCCAGCTACTTGGAAGGCTGAGGTGGAAGGATCGCTGGAGCCCAGCAAGTGGAGGCTGCGGTGGCCGGGAGTGGGCACTGCACTCCAGTCTGGGCGACAGAGTGAGATGCCAACTCAAAAAAAAAAAAAAAAATCTACAAAGCTTACCAAAGATGTGTAGATGTCTACTCATATGCAACAGAATCTCTAAGAACCCTATAATGCCATTAGGACTATCCTGAATCCTAAATTTTAAAAAATACAACATAAGCTTTACATACATGGGAATGAAGAGCTAACCATATCTCTGCTGGGCTTTAGTCAGACCATATCCAGAAAATATTACTTTATCGAGACAGTGTTGCATAATGGAAAGAACAGAAGCTTTTAAATCAGAAAATACGGGTCTGAGTGGCAGTCTTATTACCCGCTAGCTGTGAGACGACAGGCAAGCTATTTGACTGTGTAACCTTTGGTATCCCCATCTGCAAAGTAGGGATAATAAAACTACTCTGCAGACCCACGGTCTGCAAAAATAATAAACATAAAACACACATACAGGAAAATGACACACAAGATAAAAGTCACTATTTTCATTCTTTAAGAGAAATGGGGAGAGGGAAGAAGAACAGAGGAAGGAAGAAGCTCTACAGGCCTGACGACCACATAAAAGGAAAGACTTCTTCAGCTTGCTTTGACGAAGCTTCTGGGACAGGGCTGGCAGGGAGCTAAAAAAATCTAAGCATTTATTTGAAATATAAGTATTTTAATAATTTATTATTTATAATAAATCATCATAAAAACTAAAATGCTTTAGTTACAATATTGATGTTTTATTCACACGCAAGCTTAAGAATACTCTCAAAACACAAAAATATAGTAATTTTCTTTGCATTTTTTATTGCAGAATATGTCATAATTTTTAAAACAAAATCTGCAACTCAAGATATCTTTATGGTTTTTATAGCTAAGTAGAATAAAGAAAGTTGGGGGAAAATACTCAATTTTCTATTGTAATTTAGGAGAAATACTTACTCAATTTTTTGCTGCAGTTGTTCAGAAAGCTTTTTATTTTCTTCTTGTAGAGCATTCCTTTCATTCACTTAAAAGCAAGGTGAAAAAGGTATATAATATAGTTGTATTAGTATCAACATAAGAAGGTTTTTCAAATAAAATGTCAACAATATTAAAAAATTAGTATTTCTAATTTTAAATCATAATGTTATTCAGAATTAACACTAGTGTGCAAAACTGATTTGTTTCTAGGTAATGAGTGCTGCATCTCACATTGTGTCACTTCTGTAACTGATTAACTGATAATTTTATGTAACGTTTGTGGCAAAAAGAGAAAGTACCTCATGTACTAGGGAGTATAGCCTAATTATTTATACTGAGGACAAGAAAACATTCCATCTGGTTACTCCTACGAATTTCAAATACCACTTTAGCAAGAGTCGCTTATCTTGAAATAAATTTGATCATAAAAATAACATAAATATTATGTAATTTTATAACATAAGCACATTTATTAAATCAAATTTTCTTTTTCAGTCATACTCTATGTTTCATGAATAATTATGGTATTAGGAACTTAAATATATTCATTGAGGTAGTATCTGTTTGTCTGACTCTCACTACATTTTCCTATCTAAACTTAATTTATAAAGCAGAAACTCAATTTTGGACTGTAATTTCTGCTGGAACCAGCACAACACTCTTATCAATGCTTAGTGCGATGTCACTGGTTAAGCATGTGTTTTACTAGGAGGAGTAGATCCAAGAAATCAAGTTAGAGAAAATACAACTATGCTCAAAAAGAAGGCAAATCATAGTCTAAACATTAATCATTTAGTGGTTTACAAATCTAAACCTATTTTCTTACACTGAGTAGATGAACTTTTGGACTATCTACAATATGTGAGTTTACTAATCTACTTTCTATGGAAGATCTACCAAAAAAAGTGACCTAAAGAAAAGTACAACCTAATGAAGGAGATAAGCTCCTACATAAACATATGTTATTCAACTGAAAGTGACAAGGGTATTGGAGAAGTACATAAAGTACCAAGGAAATTTCCAAGGAGAAAATGGTTACTTTGAAGAAGTAGGAAGGAATTTATCAAAGAAAGGGCAACTGAGCTGGACAGGAGACTATTCTATACAGAGAATTAATGAAACAAAAAAAGAAAGATTGAGTATAATAAATGCAGAAAGGTTTCAATATTAAGCTAAGTAATCAAAATTTTATCTTAAAGATTACCACGTATCATTTTCCACAGATGAACGATGGAAAGATTGATCTGTTAGTATGTACAGCATATAACACAGGGAGAAAAAAGTACTGACAAGATGGTAAGTCAGGTGGTTATTAAAAGAAATGAGTATCAGGAACTATGTGGAGGTGCAGAAACAGGAAGTAAGGACAGGCAGAAGAACTGTCACAGAAAGAGTCAGTAGTATGTGGTAGCTTATCATTTGTAAGGTTGTCAAAGTTGACAGAAGTCAAAGCTGACCTTAGATTTCTGATTAAGATGGTTTACTTACTCTCCCTCATCAAATAAAATGACAAAACAACTCAAAAAATAAGTATATTACAACATTAAAAAGCCAGAAAGTGTACCACTATCAGATCAGAACTATAAAAAAAAATCCTTAATTATTCAAAAATAAGTTCAGATTGATGGTAAAATTCAACAAATAAAGGGCCTTAGAAAAAGTAAGTTTTCTCAACAGAACCTCATATTAATTCTAATATCGGAGGCATTCAAAGGAATGGGATAAAAAATAGCAACAATAGAGGAAGAAGGCCCAGAAATTGCTGAATGGATAAATAAAGGGTGGCTAACAGTTGCCCTTATACCTCTAGAAGTTTTGCCAGGGGAGAGTCCATCAATAAATACTGAGAATGAAATCAGAGCAGCGCTCCCAAGTAACTTACAGTAAACACTAGAGAAGGCTTTCTCATACCCAGAAAACAAGCTACAGAGAAGCTCCCCAGTCAAGTGTTCTCCTGCCCACTTTTGTCATTGAAATAGGGCTCTTATGAATCAGAACATGAATTTACTATAAGCAAAACAGGGATTCTTCTTTGGGCTAAGGAAATAAGACTGTATTTAACAAAACAAACTAATTTAAGAGATATTTACAAATACAGACCCACAATCAGGAGTCAGCAAACACTTGAAAAAGACTAATAACATTTAAAAATTTTAAACAAAGTAGGCATAGAAAAAAGAGGAAAAACATTTTTAAGTTTAAAACTAGTTAAACAGAAGAATTTAATTCTGGGTAGATTTAATATAAGAAAGTAGTCAAGGCTGGGTGTGGTGGCTCATGCCTATAATCCCAGCACTTTGGGAGGTCAAGGTGAGAGGATTACCTGAGCCCACAAGTTCAAGACCAGCCTGGGCAACTTGGCGAGACC